AATAGTCATACTAATAATAAAAACAAGCAGAGACTTTAGAACAAATAAAAAACAGATTAGAGAAAAAAGGTTGCTTCTTATATTCATTATGGCATTAATCTCCTTTTAATCTCCTTTTATCTGATTCTTTGAATCAGATGCTGGCAAGAGCTCAAAAAGCCACCTGTGAAACAATTATTGTTTAACCTTTTGGCAATCACTTATTTTTATTATTAGTATGACTATTCTTTAGGATGAAGGCGTCAGTCCTGTAAATCTATTGTATTACAGCACTGATATTATTGCAGGGTTTTGGTTTTTTTAGCAGCTACTGTTTATGAATACTATGGGGTCCTTTGTGTTCTCTGAGCTTGACTGTTTTCTTGCAGACATTTCATTACCAAACTAGATAACATCATCAGTGGTAGAAGGGAGACAGTTTGCTATCTATTAATATATTGTACAAGTGGCTTTTCCTACAAGGGTTGGTGAAAGTTTTCTTGGCGGTTCCTTGATTAGACTGTTGTTTTCTGTTAGCTTGTTTGTCTGAGTTAGTAGTGTATTGTTTGGAGTATTGTTTACTTCTTGATTATTCCCTGGTGTAAACAGTGGTGTTAATCTCTGCTCATCTGTGAATTGATTACAGGCAAGAAGGTATTTTGGTCTTTTTGTTTCCTGTTTAGCTTTTGATTCTCTCTTTTCAATGGTGAGTAGACATTAGCTGCCTGTTAATGGGTGCAGGCTTCCAGGCATTCTCTAGCATTTTTGGACATGGCTTAGTCAAAGATGTTTAGTTTTCCAATTCAAACCATGGTTATGTCCATCCACGTGTTATGCAATTGGTGCAAGTGGCTTTGTCCTATCAATGTTGATGGGAGTGTTCTTGATGGTTCCTTGATTAGAGTGTCATTTCCTTTAGCTTGTTTATCTAAGTTGGTACCAGTAATTCCTTGATCAAATTTATTTTTTTATTCATTGGCCTTCTATTAATCTTGGTGTTCATTTCTGCTTATCTCAGTGTTGATGTTTTGGTCTGTTTTGGTTTTTTTGGCTTTTTGATTGTCTCTTTTGAATGGTGTATAAATGTTGTTTATCTCTATATGCCTGTTGATGGCCAATTTGTCTGATGTTCCCAGTGCCCTAGTTAAAACATACTTAAAGGTGATCATGTGTCGGACAATTAAAAAAGTTTTCATCCTGTGTTCTCACTCCTAGTTGGCACTAATAGACTCTGCAATATACTATAAATGACAATAATTTTGAAAGACTACACTCAGTTGTAAGTGGGAATTAGACTTTTCTTTCCCTAAATATCCATATCAGAAACTCTTGTTTTTCCCAGAATTACACTTCTTTAATTTCATTTCTGAATAATATTGTATTTTTAGTTCCACCTTTTTTCTATGCTTTCTACAGATTTTCTTTTAACAATCCTATTTTAAATATTTTTAAAATTCTTTCCCTCTCCTCATCCCATCATGGACAATTTATATCTTCCCTCATATTAAGTATTTTAAGCAGACTTTCACCTAAAATATGCAAATGTATAATAGGGTGCTCATTTGTTTGTTATAGATGCTTTTTGATAACAAATTACATTAGCAGTGAATTGAATCACAACGTTCAGAGCATTGCAATTTTCAGCATATAAATGTGCTTTCTAACAACTTTGCAAAAGTCTAATAAGTATAAATGGGGTTGACCAGTTTATTTTTGAAAACCTCCAGTGATGGAGCACCTACAAATGAGGGAGACAAACTATTCCATTGATTAATTATTCTTCCCATCAGAAAATATGCCCTTACTTCTAGGTTGGGTCTCTCTTTAG